AAAAATTCTGGATTCCTTTGAAGAACCCTGTGCTAATGTTAGGCTGTGGGTGAGGTATGTTGCCTTTCAAACCTGTATGTACGCTTATGAAGTAACTTGCAAGGTATAAATTGTCTTGTAATTAGCCGAGAATACTCAAGTAGTGAGTCAATAATACACCTACATTGTTTACCTCCACATGGGTGGTTAGCAAATGGCCTAGTGTTGGCTAATAAAATATTTTTAAAAGAGGTGCATCATGCTTTGTAAGTGGCTCCAGCAAACGCTACAGAAATGACTGTCCGTCTTTTAGGAGGCTAATAATATTTTTCTTGTTTCACTTCAGCCTTTTTTTTTTTTTTGGCACTGGTAAGGAACTATGCACAAGTGCCAGACATGTGGGGGCCATGATGGAGCAATGATTCTTTCTGCTTGTATTCGAGAGCGAAACTCTATTGCCAGGAAAGGTCTTGTTAATACTAAAATAAAAAAGAATGCACAAAGCAGGTTCCCACTGTAAAGTTATGCAATCCTTACGTAAAGAGGCTCGATTCTCCCATCTTAACAGGTTTTACAACAGATTACTTTCGCTGACTTGGGTGAAAGGATCGCGTACAGGTCCTCTCAACCCCACCCTGAAGTCACTGGACGCTTCGAAAGCTAGGACTAAGTTTTCACAAGCTCCCAGAAGTCCTTGCAACAGAAGGCTGGAAAACGCTGCTCTTGGTCAGCCTTGTCAATGGTTTATTGGTGGCGCACTAGAAAACATTTTCTTCTACTGCTGTCACCTGTCATTATAATATTGGCCATTTTATTCTCAATCCCTTTCCTAATAATCCCCAACATAGAGTTTTCCTTTTTCACTGCGGCAGCACACTGGATTGACACTTTCATTGAGCCATCTGTTACAACCCCAAGATCTTTTTCCCTCTCAGATGCAGCAAATTCAGACCCCATTAGCCGATACTTGAAGCTGGGACGTTTTGTCCCAATGTGCATCACTGTACACTTGCCAACACTGAACTTCATTTGCCACATTTTTGCCCACTCACCCAGTTTGTGGAGGTCCTCTTATGGAGGTACTTCCTTCCGCCTTTCTCTTTATAATTGCTGATCGTATAAATTACAAATGTGTGGAAGAGAACTGGTACAAAATAAAGTTCCTTTGATTCTTCCCCTGCCCCCATCCCACACTTTCTTTCAAAGAGCTCCAACAGCAAATGCAAGTTAGATATGGCTTCTTCTAACTCCAGCCCAAGCAAAGGTGCAACTGAAGCTCTTGGGACAGGAAAGGAAGAGGAATCTGTGGAAAGGAAAGGATGTCATTTCTCCAAAATTCTATATACACCTTAATTTGTTAAGAAAGTATCAAAATCGATGTTTTGAAAATGAAATTATCTTCCCTCATCTGTTCTCAGCAGTTGGGATCTCTGTTTAAGTCAGTGGTGTGCCTAGCCTATTTGACACCCAGAGCAGATAATTTTTTAACACCGTCTCCCTCTGCTACTCTCTTCTGTTGACTCTGGGGCAGATCAGTGGTGGTGGTGGGGGGGGTAGGGGAACGAGCCCTCAAAAGCAGCCTAGACAGGCTGTGCAGGACTCCTCCCCCGGTCAAAGATCCAGGCTTACTGGGGCAGCGGCGAAATGAAATCCCAGTGAAGAAAAGCGAGCAGAGGCTGGGGGAGAGGGAAACCTACCACATTCCCACTTTCTTTGATTCCTATGAGAAGTAAGGTTGCCAGAGGGGGGCGGGGGGGGGGGGGGGGGGTGTGGCATATTTTTACCCTATTCAGTTTTTACGCCTGCTGACCTGGAATGCAAAGGTAGGTGCTTGCCAAGAAAAAACTGCCCCGTGATGGTGGGGAAGGAACGAGGTTGGGGGTTGTTTGGAGGTGCTCAGGGGCTGCTCAAAGGGGTGGTAACTGGTGCACCTGTAAGCGGGCAAGTGAAATGCCTGGGAGGAGATGAGCTTTAGGAGTAGCTTTGAAGTTGGTGCGGTTGAGGAGGGGGGCACTGAATGTTTGGATGGGTTAAATTCCTTACAGGCAATGCACCCCCCCTCATTGCCTGCACCCGGGGTGGGCTGCACCTACCACCCTGCCCTTGGTATGCCACTGGTTTAAGTACGGCTTAATACAATTAAATCTGTTGTTGAATTCTAATTATGCAATTATTTATTAAGTGTTTACTATGCTGTAATAAATGTGTCCTTGAGGTGCCACAAAACTCTTATGTAAGGAGAGCAACTGGAACACTCCCTAAAATGCATTCTGCCGTGGAGTCACGATCCCATTTAATGAATCTATTTGCATATTTAATTTTCTTTTTACGTCTGATGTCCTGAACATCATATCTCAAGAACCTGAAGGCTATTTGCCTTGAACCTATATTGTGCTGCGTAGGAAATAATGTGGGGTAGCAAAAAATGTACTTTGGGATCACAAAATACCTTGAATTGTCCTTAATGTAAACGCAGCAATTTCATAGATGAACAGCACAATGCCATTGGAAATTTCTTACATTTCACAAAACTGATATGAAGCTACTCAAATGATGCTTTTTTCACAGCTATCTATAGACACTTTGTTTGGGAAGAGATTATGGATTTTTCCACATGCTTGACTTATTCCTGATTTTCTTGGAAGTTGATCCACAAGCACTGGAATCAGTTTGGGCATGGTTGTTCCACATGTCTGCCCTCCCTGTGCATTTTCACAGTTGTGGAGGCAATCTATTTTCTTCTGCACATGCCTTCAAATAAAGAGGATTGTCAAGGAAGGGCACTGGTATCATCAGTGGTACCATTGGAGGCATCACAGCATACCCCCCCCCTTTTAAAAGGCACTAAAGTATCGCTATATTGCTGGAGCCTGGTAACGACAGGCATAGGAGGTTCTCTTAATTGCCAGCTTTCATTTTGAAAAAGTAAGTCCCTAGGCTTCCCCCTTGTGGAAATATGCCTTTTTCCATATATCTCCACAACAAAAAGACTAGAGACTTACTTTTTTTTTTACTGCAAGTTAGCAATTTAGAGAAGCTTTTGTTGCAACACTCCAGCAACATATCAATATTTTGGTACCTTTTTTTTTTTTAAAAAAAGAGATTATTAATCTTTACCATGGGCGGGACGGGAGTGATTTGACCATGACAGTCCAGTCCTTAAACAGTGGGCTGGAGATGGGTGGGATTGGATGGGACAAAGAAAACTGACAGAAATATTACATACTAGCCTGCTACCCGTGTTTCGCTATGTTATTTAAGTTCCATAAATCCAGTTATAATACTGATGATGTGAAATTTGAAATGTGACATTTGTTGTAGGAATTCTAACAGAGAAGACTGTAGTGTAAGAAATGAAGTG